GGCAACCTCTCTCGATGCGGCGAGGCACCACGGCGTTGCGGCCTCCCCGGGCCACGCCGAAGACGCGGCGGTAAAACACGGAGCCGCGGTGGCCCCCGCGGCCCTCCCCGCCGGCGCAGCGAGGTGCGGGACAGCGGCCGCAGCCGCGGCAACCTCTCGCGACGCGGCGAGGCACCACGGCGTTGCAGCCTCCATGGGCCACGCCGAAGACGCGGCGGAATAACACGCATCCGCGGCGTCATCCATGAGAAGGGACGCAGGCACGGCGAGGTGCAGAGCCGCGGCATCGCCGGTGGCCGGCCCCGTGAGCGCAGCGACAGGTTGAGCCGCGGCAGCACCCGCGGCCCATTCCGGCGGCACAGCGATGTACGGGGCAGCAGCAGCCGCCGCTGCCCACCCCGGCGGCCCGGCGAGGACGGCACGCGCGTACTTACCCTGGGCCCCCCCGGCGGGCGCAGCTTGATGTAGTGCCGCGTCGTCGCCGGCGGCTGGTCTCGCAGGAGCGGCGTGCCAAGAAATCCCGGCCGCGTCGGTGTAGAGACGCGGCGTCGCGGTCGCCATGGCAGCCGTAGCAGCGGCTGCATACGGCTCCCGAGCCAACATGGCCGCCGCGGATTGCGCGTCGTCGCCGGCGGCTGGTCTCGCAGGAGCGGCGTGCCAAGAAATCCCGGCCGCGTCGGTGTAGAGACGCGGCGTCGCGGTCGCCATGGCAGCCGTAGCAGCGGCTGCATACGGCTCCCGAGCCAACATGGCCGCCGCGGATTGCGTCGCAGCCAACATGGCGGCCATTTCCGGTGGAGCGGTCGCTGGGAAAACTGCGGCGCTTCCAACGTTGGCAGTTGACAGTTGCTCCCGTCCCGCGTGCGGGGCGGTTGGCTGCGTCCGCGCCTCCACCTCGGCCAACCTGGCGGTCAGCTGCCCCACCGCCTGCAGGAGCTGCTGCAGCAGAGCTGCGGGGACGCTCTCCGTCTCTGGCGGCGGCGGTGAGCTGGCACTCCCCGCAGCCGACTCCTCCCGCTCCGGCCCGCTCGTCTCCATGGGGACCGTCACCGGGGTCCCGGGCTCCGGGGTCACTGCTGGAGCCTCCTCTCCGCCTTCGGCACCCTCCAAGTCATGTGCCGGTGGGTTCTTACGCTTTATACATGTTGGCGACGGTGTAAACTTCTGACACCAGTTGTTGAGTCGTAGACGGAGGTACTCGGAGACGGAGGTTGAGTTAGGGGCTTCCGCCAGGGTTTATTAACACTTATCACTATCCCTGGTTCCCTCTTTACCCCTTCCACTATCCCCGTTCCTCCAGTGACCCCGCTTACGTTACGGGGTCTCCCTTAAATACCCTAGGAGGGGTGACGTCACGTGCACTGCCCAGCGCGTGCGACCCCACGTCCCGTGAGGTCACCGCACCGGACAGCGCACACGACGCCACCACTCTCTTCTACTCCTCTACATCTGTACACGTCATAAGCCACTTGGTTGAGCTATTAATTGTGCCCAGGTCACTTCTGAAAAATAAACCAAAAGCTCAGTGGGCTTTACCTGGTAAGAAAAAGAAAGTGTTATTTGTATATATTTATATATTTGTATATATTTATATATTTGTATATATTTCAAGTGATTTGTTCACCTCTCGTATATTTTCACTCCTGCCGTGTTTGTTGTTGTCACGTTCTGGCCCCGTGCCCCTACCGGGCACCTGTGAAACAGAGCTTCATAGCTCATCGGATTCCTCCACGAGAAACACATTCTGGTTCTGAATTGTCTCACGTACCCCCGGGAGATGTCTCGTGTAACCACACGTGGTGACCTTGCCACACGCAGAAAACCGCCGCTCCATAGCAAGTTTCGGCACAATTTATGTTCACAAATTTGTGCTCAGGTTTCCACGCTCAGAAATATTTCACAGCGGCACTTTACGTGCGGAGTTTGGTCGCGTAGGATACGTGCGCGTGCATATCAAGGCAAAGATTACGCGATGCACACCTTTGAAAACGTTTACCGGGAACAATTCATTACTTTGTTTTTGTTCAAAGAGATTGTGAGGTTTACATTTTTTCGCGGCATTTCTCTCTCGCAGAGCTACTCGCCAAAGCTATGAAGCAAGGTTTTGGAGTCGTAAACAAGGACTATCGCCAGGTTAGTTTGCACGCTTCGCAATTTTCACTTGCGCTCTTGCCTGCTCTGCAAAGACGAGCCACTTGTTTGTGTCGTCGTGCATCACTTTCACAACCTCAGTGCTTGCTTGGGATACGATGTCTTGCTTGGGATACAACGCCTTGCTTGGGATACGACGTCTTGCTTGGGATACGACGCGCTTGCTAGAACTTGTATGGGTCGTGATGAGTCACCGCGTAGACCCCATTCACGACTCTTCCTCACCACCATCCCCGTAGGCTCCTCTCAGCAAGATAAAGTGATGTTAAATTTTATTTTTATTTCAATTTATTTGTATTTATTTATGCATTTATTTCAATGTATGTATGCATTTTAGTAATAAGTAGTGTCTAAATAATTTTATACAGCCCTATTAATGTATAATATGCCATATAAAATATCATTTATTCTCTGGAACAGATTATTTCCTTCCCCGTTATTTCTTATGGGAAAAACTCGTTTGTTATACGGCATTTCCGGTATAAGTCCTACCTTCTGGAACGAATTAACGACATGTACCGAGGTTCCACTGTACAGAGGATCCCCGCTTGTCTGTGGTTCCTGGCACCTCTGAGTTGTTCTATCTCTGTGGTGAACGCCGTGCAAGCGCGTTGCACCTCGAAACGATTATACCATCATTAAGTGCCGTAACCTGCAAGCCTGGCGGTTCAACTCGGCGTGGGTGACTTGGTGATGTGGCTCACGTTGCCCTCAGATCATCCGCTATGAGCTCGGCTTTATCGTGTGCGCGGCTTTGGGCGTCGCCTTCCTGCTGCTGCTCCCGCTGGCGGGCTGCTGCATGTGCCGCCGCCGCCGCTGCTGCGGGAACCGCCGCGGAGAGATGCTTCGGAGGCCACGGAAGAACGACGACTGCAAACGCAGCTGCCACGGCGCCTCGCTCCTCCTCGTCACGCTCGCCGTCGAGTGAGTCGTCTCGTTAAATTTCGATTTAAAGCTTCTTTCGTGACTGCAGGGATTCATCTTCTTGGTTCTTTTGGTAAAGTCACCACGTAGAAGGGAAATAATACTCGGTCAGCTGAGCCTTCTTATCCCGGAGTTTGTTGAAGGATCTCAAAGTTATGTGGAATCCCTCCCCGTAGAGGCGGTTAAATTTCGATTTGAAGCTTTCGTGACTGCAGGGATTCATCTTCTTGGTTCTTTCGGTAAAGTCACCACGTAGAAGGGGAAATAATACTCGGTCAGCTGAGCCTTCTTATCCCGGAGTTTGTTGAAGGATCTCAAAGTGACGTGGAATACCTCCCCGTAGAGTTAAGCCAGCAGTGTTTGTGTGTTCTCTGCGGTAAGTAAAACGTGTTTCTGCTTCCCCTTTGCGTCTCCGTGCAGGGCGGGCATTGTGTGTGCCTACGTGGCCAACAACAATGTGACCAACAACATCCGGCAGTCGGAGACCCTGCTGTCGAGCAACTTGAAGGACGTCCGGACCCTGCTCAACACTACGCCCCGTGTAAGCGGCAGCTGCCCCAGCCTCACGTCCGCGCAGTTTCCTCCGTTAAATGTCACCGAAAAGCACGCACCTGTGGGTGTAGATTAAATGTGAGCAAATGATTCGCAGTGGCGCACAAAACATAAACAACAAGAACAACTCGACGCAATTATCAATGCCACTGCATTAATATGAAAAGTATAATATAATAATGATAATTGTTTTTTTACCATTCTATCTGGCAACAAAACTGACACCTTTTTTACAAGGAGTCATGTTTACATAGACCACAATACCTGCAGTCATAATCCCAGTGGGATGCAAGTCAAACAACAACAACAACCACAAGACAACTTAGATTAAGGCCATCAGTCTAACTCTGTACTACAACAAACAAACATGGCTAAACCAATACACTTTTCGAAATCACCAAAATAAAGCCATGAAAGTGGTGTGCACGCTGCAGTGGTTCTCGTTAGGGGGCTCTGTGCAAATTGCAGGTGGGCATTGCGGATAATTTGTAGAATTCCACTTGTTGTGAAATGTAAATGAAAGGAGGATTCCAACTCACAAATAGTCTGCGGCGTAACTCGTTTTGTGGCTGTGGCTTGGCATATCAGAGCGTGGTTTTGAACAGGGTACAAGGCAGAGGTCGCAAACGGGTTTTGATTCCTTACCCGTACCCGTACCCGGCCGCACCAGGGTCGCAAATGGGTACCCGTACCTGGCCGGGTACGGGTAGCCGGGTATCGGGTACCCGGTTGCGACCTCTGGTACAAGGCGGTCGTGTGACTGACTTGAGTGTGTTTCTTTCTTTGCCTTTAGCAAATCGACTACATCGTTGAAAAATACAACATCACGAAGGACAGGGCGGTTTCCGATCTCGACCGTGAGTGTAAATATATAGGCTTGTTGCTTGTTCATTTTGGGGTTATAGGTATCTGAAAATGTTTTACTTCTTTAATCATAGTAAGTAATTGTATCCGTATCTCTTGGCATTATCTGCAGTGTCGGGTAATAATGTCCTTTCTATTAAGGCAGCATTTCATAGTCATCACAACTTTTAGTGATGTCCCAGTGCGGACCCCTTTGGGACTAATGCTGTGTTTCCGTGACCGTTGGAAACCGGGCGCGACATCAGCAGCGTGTCCGTGTCCCCCTCACTCGTGAGCCACGAGGCTGTGGGGCAGCTCCATGTCCACTCACCTCACTGCCCTTTTCTACCGTCCACGGCCTTCTGGAAAGCGACCGGTGGAACGACTATTGCAAATCGCTTTTCAACGCAGGCTACGTTAAGGCGATTCCCCGAGCTAATGTCTTTGTCATGTTCATCCGTTCCTGCTGGAGGCTGAACTAAGTGCTGATCACCACCGGCTCTGGGTTGATATCCGGATGTGACACCGTGACCGGCCGCGAGGGTGGACAACCGATCCGGCCCGTCCCTCCCAGCGGTCGTGGAGATGCGGCAAGACGGCCTCCGTGTGTGTCGCGCTCGATTGCACGTGCGGCCTCGCTCCCCCGAGCCGATAACGTCGGCGTCAATACTGCCGTTATTTGTTCAAACGTTCAATGAAATGGGTACACATTGCGCACCTGGTAATTGCTAGAATTTGAAACTCGGGGGGAGGGGGGTGAGACATGGAGTTTCATGTGCTTAAATAGAAAAAAGCGTGTTTCTTCGGCCAGTGATTATTTATTCAACATTGCGCCGACATATCTTTCCAAAGACAGAGATCACCGGTATATTTTGTGCAGGTGAGCGGCATGCCACGAGTGAATAGAAACAGGTGGGATGGAGGAAGAGCAGCAGCCCGCACTCATTGTGGGCACGAGCTATCGCGCCGTTCGCCTTCTTGTTTTCCAATCAATGCCTCTCTACTCCAGCACAGAGGCCACGGGTATTTGTAGACACCATACCTGATGCACAATTCGTTTATTTTCCGAGAAACAAAATAAATTGTTCACCGTACACTCTCTTGCCAAGGCCTACAAGTTACATGTACGTGAGGTGATTTTTCCACATTTGTCCGCGTGATTGTTCCCGATATGTGCGCTATAAGAGCCTCGTACCGAAACCTCGCCTTTCATGTTAGTCTGATTTAAATGTAATTAATGGTTAATAATGAAAAAAAGTCGCAATGAGCAGAAACTAAATGTGCAACTCCATTCAGTATGAACATGATGCTGTCATTTTAATTTTAAAGATAATGTGACGAATTGGAGAAGCCGGGTCAGGTGACGTGGTTAATCTAACTTCCTGGATCTTATCCTGAAGACGTTTGGCACATTTTCACGTAAAACATCGGGTATCTAATTGTTATATTTAGTTGCGATAATTAATTGTCGGGAGCGCTTGTACATGCGACATTTTAATATGTTTGGCTATGTCAGGTGGTATGACAGAAATTTGGGCAGATTATTACGTGGTCTAACCCAAAAGTCAATTATGAATACAAAATAAACACTTTAACTTGGTTGCGTTGTAGCACTTGCTCCAGTGCATGTGGAACAGAGGTCGCAAACGGGTTTTGATTCCTTACCCGTACCCGGCCGCACCAGGGTCGCAAACGGGTCCCCGTACCCGTACCCGGCCGTACCCGTACGGGTATCGGGTACCTGATTGCGACCTCTGGGATGAAGCCATGTTGCAGGCGCGGGTGGGTTGATTCTAGGAACTTGAATTGTGAGAAGAGACAAGACGTTGGGAAATGAGTGACAAACGGTGACTCACCAGTGACTCACCGTCTACCCGTACCCGTACCAGGCCGCACCAGGGTCGCAAACGGGTACTCGTACCCATACCCGGCCGGGTACGGGTAGCCGGGTATCGGGTAGGGTACGGGTATCGGGTACCCGGTTGCGACCTCTGATGTGGAATTGGTAACCCCGTAACTTGTTGGCCTCACAAGGGCCTGATTCAATTAGGAGCTGCTTAGAGCACGATAGGGATAATGGTGGTGAGGCATTACAGGTGACACAACATCTGAAGGGTGTTGTAGCTGCTAGCAGCTCATGTAAATATGAAATAAAATAAGAGATGTTTGCGTGGCCAGGTGGCAGCCCTTGAGTGTGGCTGCTTTGTGCCCCTGGCGGTTCGTTTCTAATCTGTGCTCATCTGCTGGGCCCTGTGTGATGGAGTGCAAACAAACAGAGGTGAACAGGAAAAGCGTCAATTTTAAGAACATTGGGTTGGTGTTTTGAAAGGTCTGTGGCAAGGGCTGCACGTATGGGTTTTTTAATTAACCCAATCCCCCCCCAAAAAAAATCCATCCTAAATGTGAACTTACATCTGATAACTAAAATATGTTGGTCTTTAAAATGCTTTCTCCAGTGTTAATACTATTGTAGAGAAGTTCTCGCGAACGTACTTGGAGACGGAGGTAAGCTAAGGGCTTTCGCCAGGGTTTATTAAAGCTGTTGCAATATTACACACCAGGGTACACAACTCCCAGGGGCTAGGGGGCTCCTACTCGGAGTCCGGGTCCCTGCCGACTAGCTCCGGTCTCTCTCTCTCGTGTCGCATCGTGGACTCTGCAGACTCCACAGACACACACACATACACACACCCAGACACACACACAGACACACACACAGACACACACAGCAACACACACACACATACAACAACAACAACAACAACCGCCATTCGCCACTAAGTGGCGGTGACGTCACCACGATGCTTGTGCCAGGCCAAGTGCACCTTGAGGCCACGTGAAGTGTCGAAAGCCCGCTGGCAGGAGGTCACGGGGCAGACCCAGCAGGTGCCACGGGTCGACTGACTGAGATGACCGAGATGACTGGCTGATGCACCACCTGTGCCCCCTACTGTGCCAACTTGCTGTGCTTTAGCCACCCGGCGCTCCGCTCGTTGTTGTGAGCGTCGCTCCTCCGCCCTCCGTTGTTGTTGGAGGGCGACTGCCTCCAACTGCCCAGTAGCGTCCTTCACGAGCCTCCTCCACTGAGGCCGATCTTGACACCGCTGGTACCAGTCATCGGCAAGTCCACTCAGCTCCACGTCCTCCTGTACCACATCACTCCATCTCTTCTTCAGCCCGTGCCGCGCCCGTCTAGCCCCCTCGATCCGGCCGAACAAAAGCTGTTTAGGCATGCGGTGGCTGGGCATGCGGGCTACATGACCCAGCCAACGCAGCCTTGCCTGCCGGAGGAGCTCACTGATGGGACTTTGCCCAGATCTTTCAAGGATTTGTGAGCTCCTCACACAATCCAGCCTGGTTAAACCCAGGATGGATCGTAGGCAGGCCAGCCTAAATGTTTCCAACCGGCGAAGATGCTCCACCAGGGGGGTCCACGTCTCGCAAGCGTAGAGAAGGGAGGGAATGACCGTGGCCGAGAAGACCTGAAGCTTCGTGCGGAGCGACAGACCAGGTAGCTTCCACACAGCGTTACGCAACCGATGAAAAGATATTGCCGCTCGACTGATTCGGAGTGAGACCTCTGCTGATAGACTGGAGCCGGTCATAAGCACACTGCCCAGGTATGGGAAACTCTCCACTCTCTCCACAACTGCCCCATCACCAATTGGGAGTTGTGGGGGTGGAGTGTCCGATGGTACAAAATACCCAGGCAGGTGCTTAGTTTTGGTGGGGCTGATGGTAAGGCCCCACCTCTTAGTGGCACGCTCCAGTCTCAGCAGCAGCGCCTCCAACTCCTCTTCTGAATGAGCAGCTATTACCAAATCATCGGCATACATAACGTGGTTGACCAATAGGGAGCCATCCCTTGATCGCACCCGGGCGTCGATCAGCCTCCCATTATATCTGTACCAAATGGAAATTCCCCCGGTACAGCTATTGAAGGCTTCACGAACTACGCGGTCAAAATAGATGTTAAATAATGTGGGAGCCAGAGGACATCCCTGTCGCACCCCAAGGTGTACAGGGAAAGGCTCCGACTCCCGGCCACGTAGTTTTACCCGGGCCCGCTCACCATCATGAAGGTCCTTAATGATCGTGAGCAGAGGGTCAGGGACTCCGAAAGCACGAAGAACAACCCAGAGCCCAGTCCTACTGATGGTATCATAGGCCTTGACCAGGTCAATAAAGCAGAGATGTAGGTCTTGTTGGAATTCCCTACACCTCTGCTGTAGCAGACGGACAGAAAATATGGCATCTGTGCAGGACCGCCCTTTCCTGAAACCGCATTGGGGCTCCGCAAGCCTCTCCTCAGCGTGCCTAGCAAGGCGATGTTGAATAATCCTTGCCAGGACCTTACCCGGCACACTGAGGAGTGAGATGCCCCTGTAGTTGTTACAGTCGGTACGGTCCCCCTTCTTAAAGAGGGGAACCACCAGGGCATCCTTCCAGTCCTGCGGAACCCGTCCAGTGGTCCAGACTGTTGTTATGATGTCATATAGGGCAGTCTGTGCACAAACGCCACCCTCCCTCAGCATTTCGCTTGGGAGATCATCTCTGCCCGGTGCCTTTCCTGGTCTCAGACTCCGGATCGCCCTCAGTACTTCCTCAACAGCTGGCACCTCAGCCAGCCACTCACAGGGGGTGACCTCTTCCAATATTTGAGGCACCGCAGCCTCAGCAGGGTTATCACCACTTTGTGCCATGATGTTTTCCTGGCTGAGAGAATTTCCCTCCCCCAGGACCTCACAGAAATGCTCAGCAAATCTGCAAACCTGTTCCTGGGGGTCGGAGATTGGATCACCGTTTTTTCCTCTAATGATGGTAATAGGTGTGGCGCTGCAGGTTACTTTTTTGATGGAGTTAAATAGTGATTTGTGATCACGGGCCACTGAGGCAGACTCCATCTCCTCAGCAACCCGCGACCACCACCCATCCTTACAGCGCCTTACGGCTCTCCGAACTTCCGAGCGAAGGCTGCGGTAAACCTCCTCATTCTCTGACGTGGGATGCTGTAGGCGATGAGAGTGGGCCTGTCGCTTTTTCTCAATTAACCTGAACACCTCCTCTGTCAGCCAGGGTTTCTGGGGAGGTCTGGACCGCATACCCAAAGCAGCCATTGCAGCTGCATGAGTCACAGTCTTAAACCTCGCCCATTTCCCCTCGACATCAGGTGGAGTGGGGGACGATGCCAACCCCAGCTGCAAGCGATGATGAAATTCTCGCTTGCAACTTTCATCAGCTAACTACACACATACACACACCCAGACACACACAGACACACACAGACACACACACAGACACACACAGCAACCCAGACACACACCCAGACACACACACAGACACACACAGCAACACAGACACACACCCAGACACACACACAGACACACACACACACACAGACACACACACAGACATACACAGCAACACAGACACACACACAGACACACACAGCAACACAGACACACACCCAGACACACACACAGACACACACAGACACAGACACACACACAGACACACACAGCAACACAGACACACACACAGACACACACACAAACACACATCCAGACACACACAGACACACAGCAACACAGACACACACACAGACACGCACCTCTCCAGCTACCACCGGCTTCTCCCCAGACTCCCTATTCGATCCCTCTCTCTACCCCTGGTTCCCTCTTCACCCTGCTCACTCTACCCGTTCCCACGGTGACCCCGCTTACGTCACGGGGTCTCCCTTAAGTACCCTGGGAGACGTGACGTCATCGCACTGAACGGCACGCCTGACGTCACGTCCCCATTTTACTCCTCTACACTATGAACGTTGCAGTTCTGCATCACAGTGTGACTAATCGCTTCTTTGCCTCTGCTCGCCACGCAAGTTAAGTCAGCGTTCAGGGGCACGGCGTTCGCAGTTGCCTTACATCTCGATCCGATCCGTGCCGGTTCGGACAATTTTACAGACGTGGGACCGTTGCTGGGCCAGAGGATCCAGAGGCGGCTGGGCACGAAGGTTTATCCCGCGCTACGGGCTGCCCTGCAGATGGCCGACGGTCAGTGTCCACACGGCACCTTTGCCAACCGCGACGAGCGCGGTTGGCCGCGTGCAGCGCGGACCGAGTTCGACGCAGTGCATACGTAGAGCGCGCACGCCACGGCTACGCGGGAGCAAAGGCAACGGAGTGGAACCGTTTTATAAAATTGAAACGTTCACATTTTAGGTTGCAATCAGGTCCAGTGGCGGTGGGGGGGGGGGGGGTAGATCTGTTGCGTTGGGGGTGAGGTGCAAAATACGAGTGGTGGACAACAGAGGAGAGGGAATGCTGGTGGGGGGGCCATCAGGGACACTTTTGGTGGTGCAGGACCAGCCCCACAAGCCCCACAAGCCCAGCTGCACGTTCCCATGAAATGCGATGGAAACTGTTCAGGGAGAAATAGCTTGGGCAGAGTTTGGGGGGGTGGGGGCATGGGGGGGGCTTAGCCCCCCCCCCCGAACTGGGCACCTTTATTAATTTATTTTCAGTCGTTTACAAGTAAGGTTCAAAATAAATAAATTATATGCACCCGCGATAGAATTCAAACTCCGCCTATGAGAAATTGTTATTCTACACGTCAAATTATTGTACATATTAGATGCGTGTCCTTCTCGACAAATTGTTTGCACTTGATGATGTTTGCGTTTTAGAAATTTGAATGTGCCAGTCATTGTTTTTCATTCCTTTCCTTCTCTGTGTTGCTTGAGCTACAGTGAGGGAAAAAAGTATTTAATCCCCTGCTGATTCTGTACGTTTGCCCACTGACAAAGAAATGATCAGTCTATAATTTTAATGGTAGGTTTATTTGAACAGTGAGAGACAGAATAACAACAAAATCTAGAAAGACGCATGTCAAAAATGTTATAAATTGATTTGCATTTTAATGAGGGAAATAAGTATTTGACCCCACTGCAAAACATGACTTAGTACTTAGTGGCAAAACCCTTGTTGGCAATCACAGAGGTCAGACGTTTCTTGTAGTTGGCCACCAGGTTTGCACACATCTCAGGAGGGATTTTGTCCCACTCCCCTTTGTAGATCTTCTCCAAGTCATTGAGGTTTCGAGGCTGACGTTTGGCAACTCGAACCTTCAGCTCCCTCCACAGATTTTCTATGGGATTAAGGTCTGGAGACTGGCTAGGCCACTCCAGGACCTTAATGTGCTTCTTCTTGAGCCACTCCTTTGTTGCCTTGGCCGTGTGTTTTGGGTCATTGTCATGCTGGAATACCCATCCACGACCCATTTTCAATGCCCTGGCTGAGGGAAGGAGGTTCTCACCCAAGATTTGACGGTACATGGCCCCGTCCATCGTCCCTTTGATGCGGTGAAGTTGTCCTGTCTCCTTAGCAGAAAAACACTCCCAAAGCATAATGTTTCCACCTCCATATTTGACGGTGGGGATGGTGTTCTTGGGGTCATAGGCAGCATTCCTCCTCCTCCAAACACGGCGAGTTGAGTTGATGCCAAAGAGCTCCATTTTGGTCTCATCTGACCACAACACTTTCACCCAGTTGTCCTCTGAATCATTCAGATGTTCATTGGCAAACTTCAGACGGGCATGTATATGTGCTTTCTTGAGCAGGGGGACCTTGCGGGCGCTGCAGGATTTGAGTCATTCACGGCGTAGTGTGTTACCAACTGTTTTCTTGGTGATCGCATAGTGTGTTACCAACTGTTTTCTTGGCGATCGCATAGTGTGTTACCAACTGTTTTCTTGGCGATCGCATAGTGTGTTACCAACTGTTTTCTTGGTGATCGCATAGTGTGTTACCAACTGTTTTCTTGGTGATCGCATAGTGTGTTACCAACTGTTTTCTTGGCGATCGCATAGTGTGTTACCAACTGTTTTCTTGGTGATCGCATAGTGTGTTACCAACTGTTTTCTTGGCGATCGCATAGTGTGTTACCAACTGTTTTCTTGGCGATCGCATAGTGTGTTACCAACTGTTTTCTTGGCGATCGCATAGTGTGTTACCGACTGTTTTCTTGGTGATCGCATAGTGTGTTACCAACTGTTTTCTTGGTGATCGCATAGTGTGTTACCAACTGTTTTCTTGGCGATCGCATAGTGTGTTACCAACTGTTTTCTTGGCGATCGCATAGTGTGTTACCAACTGTTTTCTTGGCGATCGCATAGTGTGTTACCGACTGTTTTCTTGGTGATCGCATAGTGTGTTACCAACTGTTTTCTTGGTGATCGCTTGCTCGTTGACGCGCTCCCCCCCCCCCCCCGTCCCGGCAGTGATGTTGGCGACGCGCCTGGCGCTGCTGGACGTCAACACGTCGCTCTCGGTGCTGCGCGACGGTTCCGAGAAGCTGCAGAGGAACTTGACGACCGTGCGCAGCGGCCTTAACGCGACCCTCAATGACCCCGTGTGCCAGAGGGCTCAGCGGTGCGTCGCCATGTCGGGGCAGCTCGTCCTGCTGAATATCCACGCCGACTTCAGCTTGGTACGTGTGAGTGTGTGTGTAGTAGGTTCAAAGAGACTTGGACGACATAGTCGGAGGCACCCTTATTTATTAACCGTTTCACTCAGCACAGGCCAATGTATACAACACTCGGAGGGGTATCGGCCCCTTCACCCGTCTAACAGGGAGACCCCACTATCTCTATCCCGGCCAGCCTACTCCCAGGTCCTCCACTACAGGGCTAGGGGAGGCTAGCTGACCCAGCTCTGGTTAAGCTGGGATCACGGCACCCTGAGTCACCAGACCGGCTCTTACAAGAGCATCGGCTCTGGGCTATCTGGGCCACGCCACTGGCTTGCCCTGGTCGGTCCTGAGAAGGACAGCGAGCCAGGGGAGTCCCAGGGCCTATCTAGCTGGTCTCCCTTCTTCACTGGTTTGAGCTAAACACTGAACCCCGAGCCCACCGGCTCACCGCCTTATATAGCAACTCCTCCCCGAGGGGTGGGGCCGTGGGGGATCACAGCGCCGTTTCAGCCCCCCAGGCTAAACGATGCGGACGTGGATGTAAGCATCCTTCCGCGTGCGGGCATAACCACACCCTTGGTGTGTTTGTTCGCCCTCCCGTAACACCTCTACATGTGTACGTGGAACTTATGTCGCATCGTATGTAGCCAACCGCCGTAATCAACGGTGCAGGGGAAGAACGGCAAACTGGTGAGCGCCAGCGTGGCTACTCACGCTGCCTCTAATCCACAGCAATCGCTGAGGCGGTCGAGGGTTGGTGGATGACAAGCACGTTCGGGAAACTCTCAAATCTGCCGGGCTGCGAGGTCGCCTTCTCCTTGTTTTGCCAGGGCGCGGCAGTACAGCAAGTTGCTTCATTTGCATCTGTATTCCATCTGTACGGGGATTGGGTGTTACCCCCCTCCATCCGTGCATTTGAATTGTCTCCGAGGGCTCTGGTTTCCTGTATAAGTACTCAATGGAGATGGTCAAACATCCTCATATAGAGCCATAGAGGCTTGAGCAATTGTTGGTGCTGGTTCTGGCTGCCTTCCTGCTTGTCTGTGATTTCCCATGCCTCTGAATCAAACGCCAACCTCCTGGGTTTAAAGTGTTAGATATACGCACGAGATGTAACCAATTCCCTCTCCTCATGAGGGGAGGAACTTCTGTGCAAAGAGGCTGGATGTTGTCTTTCCATGGCAGCCTTAACTGTAGATTACATGAATTTGTGTTCTTCCAGATACAAAAAGATCAAGCTTAACCACTATAAATGTCTAATTAATGCCTGAGCTTCGAAACAATGTTTGTACAATGAGCACTGAAGAACAGGTTTACTGAACATTGAAAGGGGACCGGGTTTGGTTTAGTTTGACAGTGCGCAGAGCTGATGGTGGTGTTTACCTTCCTGTGCAGCCGCAGGACGTGTCCCGGGAATTGGAGCAGGTGAAGAGACTGCTAGACACCAACTTTACAGCGATGGTTGACAAGGTATGTACTGTTTTTTATTTTTTATCTTGTAATGCACACGTTTTCATACATTAAACATTATACATTTCTACGTGACTTTACCGAAAGAACCAAGGAGATGAATCCCTGCAGTCACGAAAGCTTTAAATCGAAATTTAATCGCCACTACGGGGTGGGATTCCACATAACTTTGAGATCCTTCAACAAACTCCGGGATAAGAAGGCTCAGCTAATCGAGTCTCTCAACTTTATGAAGAGATGCCGCGACTCTAAGGTAATACCAATCGCATTTACACTAACCTCTGCTGCTGTAACTTCTTCTAATGCTAAACGAATTCTGTCTAGAACTAGCTTAGCTCTTATCTCAGAGAAAATCAGACTTACGCGCACCGATCTTGATCAGTTAGACAAGACACTCTACAAATCACACTTATCTTTGACTGCAACAATGTCCACATCAGATTGGGAACATGTAGACAAAATGACTGCCTCTTCAGCTGCCGCTATGTCGACCAAATGTAAGGACAACTTGATTTCCAAATTCAACCGGCTCTCAAACAAGAGACCGGACCCACACACTGAAAAGCTAGACGTTAACGAAGTCGTAATTAATCGCAGTAACAGTTCTCTTTCTGAAATAAAAAAAATAAAAAATTCTACGTGAAGATTTTCAAAAATTCTGTTCGCTAGTGTGTTTGAGACTTAAAAGTTAAGAGTATTGGTGACACAAAGTAAATCGTAAAACTGCTACATCAATGTTACATTTTTCGGTGTTATTTTTCTCCCCTGCGCAGGGTTATGCAGCTTTTAATGGCACGCCTGAAATCATCGCACAGCAAACGAGAAACATTGCTGCAGGTAAGATAACAAAGCGGTGATGAAGTATAATAACACGCAGATGGTTTTCTCAAACTTATATTCTTGGTTCTTTCGGTGAAGTCACGTAGAAGGGAAATAATAAAATAATAAAAATATAAAACAATACAATTCTCAGGACGTTTCGACTGCAACACAAGCAATCATCATCAGGTGTGAAATCCACAGCAAGAAAATTTGAAAAAAAGTGGCGTTATTTTCTTTAACGTCAGCACCACGGATTTATCAAATCCTTCGAATGATTGCTAAGCGAGAATCCATCGTCTCGGTTAAATCAAAATTTCTCAAACTTGTTCACACATTATTGATGAGCAGGGAATTGACACTGCTGTGTAATACAAACATTTATTTGTTCCTATTGCTTTTGCGCGGATCGTTAAACATTGTCTTTTCAGCGAAGTTGCGTAAGTGCGGTAAACGTAGCATGCATGGAAACATCCTGTGATTATAAGAGGTTGGTGGAACCGTGTCTAGTTCCGCCGTAGCGTGGTTAGTTAAGTGCTCACCACCCGAGGGTATGTTGTGTTAATAGCCCTGGAGGATGTTGTGCAAATAGTTAATACACGTGTTGCTCCTAAGATAACGTCTGCGACTTAGTTGGACTCAAGCCATATGGATGGTTTCGTGAACAAATCTTTGTTGATAGCCAATCGGCTTGCAAAGTACCATCGTCTTAGAGAAATAAATGTCGTGTGAGCCAGACGCATTAAAGTAATGATCAGCCACGGCAAAAGTATTGGTCCTGCCGTGTTTCAGATCTGCCTTGTGTTCACGAACACGGTCCGAGACATGTCAGAAATCTTGTCCTTCACAGATGGGATCAGGTCACGAATTTTATGTACAGTGTTAAATGGGACCTGGATCTTGTGTTTGTTCAAGATTTTGGAAATCTTTTTGGTTATCACTGCTATGTAAGGCAAGGTGATGGTTTTTATTGGATCTTCAGATGGCTCCTTCTTCACAGTTTGGGTGATGACTTTGTGGATTGTGTAGTCAGAATATCCATTCGCCTTGAGAGCCTGGTGTAGGTGTGTGAGTTCACTGGTCAGATATTCATGGTCGGAGACACATTTTTGATGAGGGAATTCTCCTGCGATGGATGGTGGTGGGAATCCGGTTTTAGGTAGGCGTCAGTATGGGCTACTTTCCTGTAGACAGAGTGGATCAATGCTGATAGATGAAGTCCGGTCACCGTATTGTGCTTTTGACATGTACCTCCACACACAGAAAAGGACAACGGTCAACACATTTTATTCTACGTGCTTGTGAGTTAATTGCTAATTATTAAAATGTATTGGATAGATTTAGCAGCGTCACAGTGATTTGGGTACCATCTTTCTTACCTCTGTATTCTTAGTATGTAAATTGTATAAATCACGACATTAATACATGGACGTTGAGATTAAAAATGAGAGTATTGCATTAATCTTCAAAGTCATTATCCAATATTGTGCCGCATAATCCTGTATTTCAAAATAAGTGTTTTAGTCCATCAGCATATCGTTCTGGAAATCCACGAGGAGATTGGCTAAAACATTTATGAATGTATACGTGGAGACACGAGAATGGAGTTCTGCTTCTAAGGTGATTGGTCATTCATCATGGTGTCTGGGACATGGCCCCACAACTTCTGGCAAACTGTTGGGGCCGCACTGCCGGCACTCATTGCCGGCGCGTACGTGCTTGCGAGCGTGCGAGCGTACGTACGTGCGTGCGTGCGTGCGTGCTTGCGAGCGTACGTGCGTGCGTGCGAGCAGGCGTGAAGGATCTACTGGACCACGTGGGCACCAGCATCAAGACGACGGCGAGGCAGCTGCCCCTTCAGCTCGTGGTGCACAACGGCACCAAGTACCTGGACATGGGCCAGGCGCTGGTGCACGAGCACCTGCCCACGGTCGCCCAGTACGACTTCTACAGGCAAGTGCCGCAGTGAAGCGCCGTCGGGTGCGACGGGACTTCTCGGCCATCCCGCGGGTCTGCTGGCCGTGGCACGGCTCTCTCTAGTGCACGGCGTAAAGCCCTCACCGCTTGGCAGGAGTGGAAATGCTGAGCATGCTTGTATACGTAGCACTAATGAGCACAAAGACAGAGAGTGCGCGAGCATCTGGGCGAATTCTTTATTCATTTGTGAATTTGATTCGTGGCACAAATCAAACCATGAATATTGCAATAGTAAGCAACGTGGCAATAGTAATTTCGTGTTGGTGCACAAATGGGGAAGCCGTGTCGATAAGAACTGAGAGATGAGAACATTGTTGTCGCGTGTAGAAACAGTCAAGGGCTCGCCTTGGAGAGCGCTCGCATGGACACATCCTCCTTGAGAAGGAGCGGTGAGTTCAACGGAGGCGCACATCAATTCTGCAATGAATTTGGTCACTCGCCTCGACATTCCCACCCGACCTTCTGTGTCGACATTGAAGGCGCTGCTTGATGACTGCGACTGCCACGCTTGCCGGTGCCATTCGTGAAGCCATTTGTGACTGGAACTTTTAGGATGTCATTTTTAGAAAGACTTCCTTCAGCGTAGGAAATGCAATTTTAATTCTTGCCGTTATAAATGCCATTTTGAATGCCACATGTGGTTTCATTTCATTAGTGTCGTGCATAACGTGGTAATTTTGGATTTCTTACTATATTTCCTTTGTACATAGGTCTGGTAGTTTACTATATTATTAGTAATGTGTGTATGTATGTTGAACTTCTTTCGCACCATACGTAGCCAACCATAAACCCTCTCTTCCCATGTACCATGCTTGTTGTTTAGCCAGGTCCTTGTTGAGAGAGAGCTCAGTGGGCCTCGCCCAAAACACACCGGCTGACCGACTGATGTATAGGATGCTGGAAGGGGGTGGTGGGGGAATTCCCGCCTGCTTAAGGGCACAGAGCAAACAGTGTTTATGATCATGGTTTTTTTTAATTGAAGACTAGCTTCACTACCATTCTGCCATTCTACAGTTGGACATCGGAGGCAGAATTATCCGTGAGTATTTTTGGAGCGTAACCCTCGCGTAAAAAACAAGTATAACCCGTAAAAACAAAGTTTTTCACTCTAAATCCTTTATATGCGTGGCGGCTAGAGTCCTCTCGTCCTCTGGCTTGAGATGGCTGCCACCTATGGGTCAGATGATTGCCTGCCACCATTAAGCAATTGGTAATTAAATATAATATTTTTGTCCTAAAAAATGTCAAATTTTGGAAATATTTTTTCACGAACTTTAATTGTCACGCACAACGAGTCTGTGTGGAAAATGTCAGCTCGATTGGATCACGGGAAGTGAGTTATAAAACGACCGAAAGATTTGCACGGTTCTAAGCAAGCAAGCAAGCGAACTTAATATAAAGGATTTAAAAAGTCCGCACCGAGGACACGTCTCTGTATTGGCAGGGGGGGGGGGGGTGGGGGTTGGGGGCCCAGCCACATGAGTATTGGTGGGGTGGGGGGGGGCGCACTCACCCCCGACACGAGCGTCACGTGCTGCTGCCTCGCAGGTGGCTCGTGTGCGTCGTCCTCTGCTCGCTCGCGGGCCTCGTGGTGCTGCTCAACCTGCTGGGCCTGCTGTGCGGCACGTGCGGCTACGGCGAGCACGCCGGCGGAAACTTCCTGATGGCGTGAGCGGCCAGCGGCGACGCGGCCCCCCCCCCCCCCCCCCGGCAGGAGGGAGCGGCGTTCGCCGCTTGTTGTTGTGGAGGTCCGCCGTTCGAATCGGATGGGTCCCCCCTGGTTATTGTTGGAGGAGTGGGTTTAGGACAGAGGTCGCAATCGGGTACCCGATACCCGTACCCTACCCGTACCCGGCCGGGTAGGGTACGGCCGGGTACGGGTATCCGTTTGCGACCCTGGTGCGGCCGGGTACGGGTACGGGTAAGGAATCAAAACCCATTTGCGACCTCTGGTTTAGGAGGGGTAAGCTCAGGGTGGCCGTGTGCTTTCACGGTGGACGTTAAAGCTTCTCTGAGCTCAGCCGAATGGGCTTTACTCGGGAAATGCATTTCTGATTTGAGTCGGCCATTGTGTGCTCAGAGCCCAAATTTGCCAAGTAAAAAAAATGGTCAACCAATGACCGGGGTGGAATGCGTAGCAATCATCGCCCCCTACTGGCAGATTGATGCCCTTGGCTTGCAGGCCGGGTGATAAGCCACCTTGTGTAGCACACGAACAACTGTCACTGGGGAGGGGGGGTCGGGGGGGGTCCCCTTTCAAAAATGTTGATAAGACGCGAGTCGATTATCACTTGTAACGCACTCCGAGATGCGCATGTGCTATATTGGAAAAGCAAATTGTTATCCATGAATGGTTCAGACTTAAGGAACTGCAGTATTACGTGCCTTGCCGGTGCCTTGCTGGTGCTGTGATGGCGTGACGTGCTTTTTGGAAGGCTATGCCACGGAAGTAATGTTTACTTAAATGTGACTCTAATTCAGCATTTGAAAGAAGCACTTCAAAGAATTTTGTTTGCGTGCCGTTGATAAAGGACGTCATGCCTTTTACTGCTCGGGGCCTTGGCGAGAAGAATTTAAGTGAAAACCCGTTTTCATTTTGTTGTTGTATTCATTTGCAGCTGGGCTGAGACACATCAAAACAGGACAATTAAAAGCCTTTAAGAACACTCATGGAGTGTATTGTGCAGTATGGGAAACTGAAGTGTAGGAGCACCAATCCTGTCGGGGGGGGGGGGGATGTGTAAATGCACAACCCTGTGTGTTGTCGAATATATGTATGTATGTTGAACTTATTCCGCACCGCACGTGTGTGTTTGTGCTGTAAGCAGTGGCGTGGGCTTCAGCTTGACCTTCTCGTGGCTGCTGATGCTGGTGGTGACGCTCACGTTCGTCCTGGGCGGGAACGTGGAAAAGCTTTTCTGCCAGCCCTTGGCCGACAATAACCTCTTCAAGGTGGGCGCACGCGCGCTCTGCTCTGTGGGCGAGAGATTCCGTGGGGTCGTCCTTGTCGTGGGGTTTCGCTGATCAAGTCCACCGGGAGCCATTGCCCCACGTTCGACGAAGACGTGCAAATGAATTGCATGCATTGAAATGAAAAGTCTCACTCGTGAGTGCTGCGTGTGCGCGCGACAGCGGAGCGCTGGTTCGCGCGCTGCGCTACGAACCTGGCGACCCGAGTTCGATTGCCGCTCACAGCTCACGTCGGCGATGGATATCTAAACTGGTTATGGGCCTTCCGCTAGATTGACTCGGCGTTAAATGAGTACCTGGTGCGGCGTGTTTGAATATACCGCGTCACTCTATCGTGTGCCATTCCAGCATTAACAGGTGCTCGCAACCAGAACCTGCTCCAACAGTCTGTTAGAGGCTCTGTGCGGAACCTTTTTGCGTGAGATGGAGGCTGATTAGTTCGGTGTGGCAGTAGAGCAGGCCTGCAGCCGTGGGCCACGTTCGACGCTGATTCCTGTCGCCGCCATCCCAGCGACTGATTTGCGAATCGGGTGTCAAACCGTCTCGTGAATTTGGCAAAAAAAACTCGCGTGGAATGTCGGACAATGCCAGAATTGCACAAAAGTGTGGAAACTAAAACTACGACAATTGGGCCCATAGTGTGGGAAGGTAGTCGTCTTCCTGGAAGGTTCTGCACCAGTGGTGGCAACATTCAACACATCCTGACGACACGGTGTACTCTCTCCGTAGGAGCCCCCACCGTTGACTCCCCACGAGTTTCAGCAGGCAAACCATTTGGTGCTTAGATTACAGACCCCTACCCTATAGGGGTCAGCACTGCACGCAGAGTGTGGTGGCACTCAGCGCTCACCCAGCCCCCTCTAGGGCTGGTGCTACAACCACACGACGTACGGGGGGTGTCCGTGATGGCAATGCATCGCACTCCGCGCTTCACTCGAGCCGGCATTGGGCGCTTTGTAAACGTGTTGAAGGATTTGCTGGACTCAAAACAGTAAGAGTGCATTGTGGTAGGCTCAAATAATCTTGGTTTGGCCAGCTCACGGCATCTAAATACAACTCCTTTTCCATATTTTTGGGTTTTTTTGGTAAAGTCACGTAGGTAAAAATTTTAAATGAATAAAAGTAAAATAAAATAAAATTGTTATGTAGACTAGCCGTAGTTTCAGCCGCACCAACCTTACCATAATAATAAAAAGGGGGCCAAGCTTGGCTCCTCCCACCCTCAACCTGTATATATACAAGGACTGTTTTCTTGGAATTTCTCTTCCTTGATACAGCAATCGTGCTGTGACGGTTCCACCTGAAGACGGAAGCTTGTGTTGCTATTTTACTTTTATTAATTTTAATTTTTTACCTACCTGGTGACTTTACCGAAAAAACCCAAGATATGAATCCTTGCAGTCACGAAAGCTTCAAATCTATAAACAACTTCTTTTGTGCATCCCATCAGCCGTGCGGAACTCTGGGAGTGCATAAGTTTGGCAGCGTACAAAGCCCTTGGCTCCGTTCGAGTGATATCTCATTACTTAGTTCTTTCGGTAAAGTCACGTAGCTAAAAAATGATGCAGCAAATCTGGCTGTGACGGTCCCACCTGATGACGGAGACTTGTGTTGCCTCCGAAACGTCGTGATTTTTATTTTTATTAATTTTAATTTCATTATTTACCTACGTGACTTTACCTAAAGAACTAAAGAGTATGAATCCTTGCAGTCACGAAAGCTTCAAATCTAGAATGATATCCCATCACGACGTAATGATACCTACAATTGACTAAATTAAATCGCCACACACAGAGTGCTTGGGATGATGCCTTTGCGGTGTAATCTTGTAGCCCGAGTTTAAAGACGAGGCACTTCCTGACCCACTCCGGTTTTAAAGTGGCGTGTGAATGCTGTCTTCTCACTCGTACCGTACTGCTGTTGAGGTTTTTTTTTAAAGTTTGTTTAGGTTGACACTTGTGACCGTAACAAAACTCTGTTCAAAAGAATGGTAAAAAAAACTCACGTCGGCATCACTGTCTGGTACAGCTGTCCCTATCCTTTTAAAATGTCCTGAAATCTGCTCTAAAGCCAACACACTCGATCCATTAGTCTTTGTTTAATCCGGTATCTTTGGGAGCAGAGCATTTGAACCGTCTACAAACCGGACTTCCTCCACCCCCCTACCCTCCTCCCCCTCACGTGACTTGTCGTGTTCCCCACTTTTGACAGTTGAAAAAACAAAATGTCTTCCTTCCTTTCTTAGTTCTTCGATACACCAAATCTGTTCAAGCCGAAGCATCTCTTGCCAGGAGTTCTCTTCAACAATCCAGACCTGAACATTACCATTGAGGGCGTATACAGGCAAGTCTGTTGCTGTACCACACCCGCTGTTGTACCCCGTCATATGATTCTTGTTTTGACGGAGTCGCTTAGTGTGAGCGCGTTGGCTTTAAAAGGTGGCTACTGCTGGCAGATGTGCACCTCCTGTGCCGATTAGCACGGTAGGCTGCGTACGGTGCAAAAGAAGTTCTACAGACATGCAGAACCACTGCAGTTGGAATGGTTCCGTGCGAATTGGTTCATTGCGGTACACAGTTGCATGTCACATTGCCGAGCCATTATTTAGTCGGCAATGAAGTTATTGACCGAAAGGCCCAATCCTCGCCCCCTCTCGCCTGGGCAGCTCGTTCCAGGGAGTCCAAACAAGGAAAAAAACAATTATCAGCCTCAAGAAGACTAAAGCAAATATAAGGCCAAAATTAAGTGTTTTATTGTACTCGGTGAACACACCTTTTATTACATTCCTAGCTATCAACATCATCGTCATCTACTGCTGGATGAAATCCTCTCCAAGTTGTGTGGTTTTTTTTTATCCTGGTGTATGTCATGCGAGTAGATGAAACAGTTGCATTTACATAATTTATTATTTCAAATTGGTATAGTAGTATTCTTAGGTTTTTTTCGGTAAAGTTACGTAGGTAAAACATTTTAATTAATAAAAGTTATCGTGCTGTGACGTTCCACCTGAAGACGCAAGCTTGTATTGCCTTCGAAACGTCGTGATTTTTATTTTATTAATGAAAATTTTTTACCTACGTGACTTTACCGAAAAAACCTAAGAATATGAATCCTTGCAGTTGTAGTGACATAGAACGGTCACTACTGTGTCGGCCCGTACGAGGGCTGGGGGCCCCAAGGGGGTGCCTGGGGGGTCACGTGGTGGAGGGATCCGGACCTTCCCAGAGGTGGGGAAGGAAGACGTGGCCTGGGAAGGGAGGCGTGGCCTGGGCAGAGCCAGCCACGCCTGGGTGGAGCCGGCCACGCCAAAGCAGATATAAGCGTGGTGTGAACGCGGAGCGAGGCTGTTGTACTGTACTCCGAAGTGAAGACATCATGGGTCGTCGTCCTGGGCCAGGCAGGCCGTTGCCTGCCTGGTCCAGTCTGTGTCGCGTTCCAGAGTGTTAGTGAGTTGAGGAAGGTGGTCACCACCTCATGTACAGCGTTATGTTACTTACCGTTTAATAAATAGTGTTGCCTCCAAGCTGCGTGTGTGTGCACCTAATTCGAACCCACTACACAGTCACGAACGCTTCAAATCTAGAATGGTATAATAGTCTTGCTGATGAAAATACGTCTGGGAGCTGAATATCAATGTCGAGGTCTGCTAGCCACGAGGGGACTGCGGGAAAGTGCACATACACCTTGTGAAGTGTTTTGGAGGTACGGAGAGACGAGAGTTGTTGTATCTTGAACCCGCCTTCTCTGAGGCTGACTCAATACGAATGCGAGTGTCTGGAATCACCACCCCCCCCCCGCCCGTGTGTTTTTACAGTGATTGCAAAAGTAACACAGGGATCCATTCTGCTTTTCAACTCTCAAATCTATTCAACTTGGACAGCCTCCTAAACATCACTCGGGTAAGTGCATGTTCACGGAAATGCGCCAACACTGTGATTTGGAATCCTCGTACGAATCAGTTGATATTATTTATGTGCGGTTGAATTGTTTACGTGAGAATACGCCGTGTTATCTTTTTTCCTCGTGATCGGAAACACGATTGCACACTCACTGTTGTATTACTATTATACAGCAGGCTTCTTTTGAAATGTTGTGCGGGTCAAAATAAACCGCCTAATTCCGGTGTTCTGTCTCCTTTCCACACCGCCACCTGAAAACCACCAGTATACGGATGACATCGCAAGCAAATTTGACCCCATCAATGTGAACCTGTTGGACATGAAGCTGCTGGAACCCAGTGTCAAGCAGAGCCTGCTGAACTTCGCAACGACTGGAATCGGCAGAATCGACTTCAGCGCATTCAGCGCAGAGGTTCTGTGTCCGTGTCGTCATCTGTGTCCGTTTTGTCATCTGTGTCTGCGTCATCTGTGTGCGTGTGGGGTTCACTCACGGCGTCACACATCCGATGGTCAACTTCTCATTCATGGTCATGCATAACACCACTTTTACACTCGCACTAATGGCCTCTGAAGATCGAGAGAACAAAACTTCTGAATACCCCCCCATAGGTTGACTCAGCCTTAAATAAGTTAAGCTGGTGCAGCATGTCAACATCATTGCCGGAGAGGCAAAGGTGGCTGGTTACGTGAGGTCCTGGCCACATCACCGCTTCTTGCGCCTTATAGGTCTGAATAGGTGCTTACTTAGAGTACTTGTTTCTATTCATAGGACTAAATGGGGAGATCCATGTGTGTGTGCATGTATTCAATATTGCGTGCCTGTGTAATGGTTCTGGAGACACTTGTAGAGGTAACTTCTTTATTACAATTCAACACTCCAACAGTCCTGATACTCTGTTACAGCCTAGGTACACAACCTAGGTACACAGCCTAGGTACACAGCCTAGGTACACAGCCTAGATACACAGCCTAGCGACACAGCCTAGGTACACAACCTAGGTACACTACTCTGGCTACGCTCTGGGGTCCTCCGGCTACAATTACCCTAGGGAGGCTATCTGACCCGACCCAGCCAAGGTGCGGGTCTGGACTCTGGCTTCCTCGGAACTCGCACTTACACGGACGTAGAGCCGGGAGTCCCAGAGTCCCACCACTGGCCCTCACAGCGTCCCGGCCCTTACAAGGACAAGCGGGACGAGGGTGTCCAGGGTCCTAAGCTGGCTGGCTGGCGGGTCTTGGGTCTTGAGCTACAACTGGCCCTGATCGGCCAGGGAGCTCCCCTTTTATGCCTCGTCCCCAACGAGGGGTGGGGTTGTGTGCGCCCCCAGGTATCCCACAGAGCACACACAGCCCCCCCCCCCCCCCCCCGTTGGTGGCGCCAAGGGGCCCTAACTGTCTGGGGTGCCTGGGATCCTAGCGCCTGGCGCCAGAGCCCCCAGTAGCCCCTCCCCTCTTATGGCACTACACCTGCTGAGAGGGTTGGCGACTATCTCTTGAGAAACTTGTTCATCCTGGTCTGCGGTCTTCGTAGCAGTCCAGCTTTTATTGTCTGCGAGCGGTCTCCAATGTTAATTGTGCAAAGTGCAATTGCGAGAATGCGTTTGCTCTTTCATTCTTAGCGCATGGCAACCCACTGCTGCCAGCTGATTGGTTGCCGTAGGGAAACAAAAGCCCCCTGAACTATTGAACCTCGGTGTGTAGGCTGATTAATTTATTACACTAAAGTAGCCAAAGCAAATAGGTGGATCAAAAAATCTGAGCGCGGTGGGATTTATCAAAGTGAGTTGCAGTAATGAAAACAGAGCTTTGTAAATGTCCAAAGCCAATGGGCCCATAAGGCCGATCAACATTAATTCCCCCCCTCCTATGTGGTGTCTACGTTAAAGCTGGCAGCTCATCATAAGCAATGAATGGGCAATTAAGCACCGCACCATCGGCTTGTGAAACACAAAGCTGCCATACGCACCGCAAGTAGGGGTCAACGACGTAGCCTGATGTCATGTTGCTGATTGACAGCCTGCGATACAAGTGGCGTAGCGCAATTCACGACTCCGAGGCAGGTTGCTGTTAGGGGCTCACGCCAAGTTTGTTAAGGGCTCACGCCAAGTTTGTTAAGGGCTCACGCCAGGTGGTTAAGGGCTCACGCCAGGTGGTAAAGGGCTCACGCCAGGTGGTTAAGGGCTCTCGCCAGGTGGTTAAGGGCTCACGCCAGGTGGTTAAGGGTTTACGCCAGGTGGTTAAGGGCTCACGCCAGGTGGTTAAGGGCTCACGCCAGGTGGTTAAGGGCTCTCGCCAGGTGGTTAAGGGCTCACGCCAGGTGGTTAAGGGCTCACGCCAGGTGGTTAAGGGCTCACGCCAGGTGGTTAAGGGCTCACGCCAGGTGGTTAAGGGCTCACGCCAGGTGGTTAAGGGCTCACGCCAGGTGGTTAAGGGCTCACGCCAGGTGGTTAAGGGCTCACGCCAGGTGGTTAAGTGCTCACGCCAGGTGGTTAAGGGTTTACGCCGGGTGGTTAAGGGCGAGGCTCCTGCTGGAGAGGCACAGAGAGAAGAACAAAGCTGTGCACGTGTCGTTCCTCGACCTTGAAAAGGCATTTGACAGGGTCCCCCACGACCTCATCTGGCACTCGCTTCGATCCCATGGAGTCCCTGAAACCTACGTGCATTGGGTGCAACTCCTATACTAGAACGTCACCAGTGCAGTCAGGTGTGCAGTGGGCATATTACCGCCATTTCCCATCAGCGTTGGAGTGCACCAAGGATCGGCCCTGTCACCACTCCTGTTTATCCTGTGCATGGACACAATCACTGCCGACCTGCACACGCCCCTGCCATGGTCAATTCTCTACGCGGATGACGTCCTCCTCTCAGATGAAAAGAGAGGAGAAGTGGAAAGACAAACGCGCCTGTGGAAGGAACGTTTGGACGAAAACGGGATGAGGTTCAACATCAAAAAGACAGAGTATATGGAGTGTGGCCCCCAAACCGACGGCACCATCAGCATTGACGGAGAAGATCTGAAGAAAGTGACGGACTTTAAGTACCTGGGCTCCACCATCAGCTCAGATGGTAGCATCACGACTGATGTGAGGTCACGAGTCAATGCGGCATGGGTGAAGTGGAGGACAGTCACCGGAGTCCTCTGTGATAGGAAAATGCCGGATAGGCTGAAGGGAAAAATTTACAAGACCATCGTCCGACCGGTGGCACTCTATGGATCTGAAGTACCGGTGAAGACACTTGACACCGAGGTGGAGGCACACGGATATTTATTCAACAAAGCTCGTATGTGACATACAGCACTGGAGGGGGTATCGGCCCCCTCACCCGACTAGCTAGGGATACTCTTCCTAGCTAAGTCCTAGCCTGCCTCACAGTCCTCCACTACTGGGCTAGGGGAGGCTACTTGGCCCGACACTGGTAAGTCGGGCCCGGTACCCGGAATCCCAGAGGACTAACTCTGGTTCCGGGACCACGCCACTGTCTCCAGCCTGTACTGCCCTTACAAGGGCGGCGTTCCAGGGGGAGTCCAGGGCCTATCTGGCCGGTCTTCCGTCTTCCTTAGTTAACTATAACATAACTGACTCGAGCCCATATAACGTCCCCTTTTATACCCAACCCTCCTTGAGGGGTGGGGCCCCGGGGGATCGTAACGCCAAACCAGCCCCCCCCAGGGTGTCTGGCTCGGACGTCGCAGAGGGCATCTCCCTGTGCACACACGTAGCCCCGCCCACTGTGTTTCTTTCCCATAGACTGCCATACATAACGGCCCTCTCTCTAACACCCCTACATCACTCCCCCCTGCATAGCTCGCAGCCGTCCCGGCTGCCAACATACAAATGACAATAAAAATGAATTTATACCGTAACCGCGCGTGTGCCTCACTAATTTTCAACAATAACAAGAACGGCAACAAGAACACAACAAAATGCAACAGCAAGAAGAGAAAACAACCCGACGCACCCCCCTTGAATAAATACGAATTCCGTAAGAAACAAGCTATATACAATTTGCAGGGAAGCCACCATACACACAACAGCAGGTGAGCACAACGTATGTAAATTCTATGGGCAGGGAACACACCCCCCCCGCACAACACACAATGAACACAACATATATACACATCTTGCGGTTTCACAACAGTCTGCGCATTTTTGCGCGTGTCCTCGCGGCGGGCCCCTCACACGGGGAAACCCCGGGTGGCGGACCGTCAGGTGGTAATCGTCCGTCCCGGAGCGAGGCCTCCTCTGAAGCCGCATGACTGTTGGTATCCCAGAAGGGGTGATCGGGCGTGAGCCCGTCATCTCGATGCACCTGGAGGTGGCACGGCCGGCAAGGCATTAGGTAGCGCGGTGGAGACGGACCTAGTGAGTCGGTCGACCCCCCACACGTCTGGCCGCGCATGCGTGAAGTGGGTTTGTGTACCGCGACGAAGGGTTTCAACCGAGAGGGGTGCACGAACCATCGCCGCTTCCCCCATCGAATGCGCACGCACTGTGGTCGCAAGACCTCGACCACTTCCACGGGGCCCCGCCACGGCCGCGCCAGCTTAGGGGAGGTAGCCAGAGGTACTTGGGGACAGTGCAACCATGCCCTGTCCCCCGGTTTCCACTGTATTACATGCGCCCGACCCAGCCTGAGGCGCTCGTTCGCCTTTTGACGGAGGTCCGAGTTCAACCTCGCAGCATCCCGCGCCTCTGTTAATTTAGCCAGATTAAATTTGACGTGGTCAGCCAATTTAGTTTTTCCCTGCGGGTCGGGGATCTGCAGCTGGGCGCGAACAGGTGGGTCGGGTTCGCGACCGTACATAAGGTAAAAGGGGGAAAATCCCGTAGCTGCATGGGGTGCCATCCGGTATGCCGCCAAGACCCCCTGAATATGCAGATCCCAATCGTCTGTGAATCTGAGACCTGCTGTGCCATCATTGACGAAATGGTGCGATGCAGGCGCTCGACCATCCGTCAGTCTGTGGGTGATACGGGGAGGTCCGAATTTTCTTTGTGCCTAAGAGGTCACAGACTTGTTTAAGCAATTTGCTGGAAAAATTTTACCCTGGTCGGTCAGCAGCCGTTCCGGAGCACCTTTGTCCAGGACGTATCCCTGAACAAAGGCGTCCACGATGGCTGCTGCCGACTGGTTGGCAAGGGGCCAGGCCATGGGCCAGCGCGTAAAATACTCGACTCCTGTAGCAAATACCTATTGCCCCTGGGGGTGGCGGGAAATGGGCCTAAGATGTCCAGCGCGACAAGCTCATTTATTCTGGACACCTTGATCGATTGTAAAGGCGGGTTAGACTCCCGTGCCGGCGGTTTCCGTTGCGCACACCGCGGGCATGAACTCAATAGATCCCCAACATCCTTGTCATACCAGGCCAGAAAAAATCCAGTTGTATCAGTGCAAGGGTCTTTAGGGTCCCCAGGTGTAACAGGCGCTCATGCGCGGCCCACACCACCTTGCCTCGCAACTCAGAAGGGACGACCAGCCGATGTCGCTGTGATTTGCCGTCCCAATGCATGAGCAGACCCTGCACCATTTCCCATGCACCTGAATCACCTTTGACCCGCCCAGCACCCCCGACGCGACGACGCCACCCTAGGAGGGAGGTATCCTCCATTTGGAGGCGCCCCCACTCAGTGACGGGCAACCCCAACAGGGAATCTCTTCCCTGTTGTTCGATCGAATTTTCAGGCAGTGGTTTGTCGTCGTCGGTGGCTGCCAGGATCGGAACCGATGCGTCCTCTGAAGGTCTGCAACGTCCCGACCCCAGGAGGCATGCACATTCCGGGTGGTTGGCATGCGTGACAGAGCGTCCGCGTTGGTATGGCGAACGCCCTTACGGTAGGTGGTCTCAAAATCAAAGTCCTGGAGAACCTCCAACCATCGAGACAACTGTCCCGATGGTTGTTGAACTCGCAGGGCATACTGTAATGCCGCATGATCTGTGCGGACGGTGAAATGCCGACCGTACAGATATGGGCGATACTGTTGGATGAAAAAGACAATTGCCAACAGTTCTCTACGGGTGACACAATATCTTTGCTCCGCAGGAGACAACACCCGACTACCGTACGCGACCACCCGTTCAACGCCATCAACCACCTGGGAAAGCACACCCCCAATACCCGTGTTGCTCGCATCGGTGTCGAGCAAAAAGGGCTTCGAAAAATCAGGGTAAATCAAGGGAGGGGCTTTCACCAGGGCGTCCCGAAGGGAGCGGAACGCAGCCTCCTCCTCTTGACCCCAGTGGAACCGAACCCCTTTAGATGTTAAAGCGTGTAGGGTTTAGCAATTGTTGCAAAATCAGCAACAAACCGTCGATAATACGACGCGAACCCAATGAAACTCCTGACCTCTCCCACCGAGGTGGGAGTCGGCCAGGAGCTGACACACTGCGTTTTGGCGGGATCGGTAGCAATACCTGAGCGTCCCACGATGTGCCCCAAATAACGCACCGAATCACGCAACAAATGGCATTTTTGGGGCTTGAATTTCAAATTAGCAGCCCGCATCTTTAGGAAAACCGCCCGCAACCTCTGGAGATGTTCATCAAAAGTTTTACCAAAGACGATAACGTCATCCAAATAAATGAGGCACGACTCCCATTGCAGTCCAGCCAAAACCAATTCCATTAAACGCTGGAAAGTTGCCGGCGCTGAGTGTAAGCCCATCGGCAACCGGTTGA